TGCCTTCCCCATCCGAGGCCAAGAGCTCTCCGGCTTTCGTAGGACGTCAGGGTCTTCAAAAGCCTGCCTGACTATATCATCACTCAAAAAAGGACGAGGATCAAATGAGGGGGCAAGTTTCCACTTGATGTGGCTAGCAACAACAGGTTTTGCTGTGCAGGCATTCGTCGGGACTCTGACCTCAGGCCTCGTCGGGCGAGGGATATCTTGAGGTTCGCTGTCTGACTCCACAGGCTCTTCCGCAGGGTGGTCAGCATGTCGGGTCGCTGCAGCACGTGGTTTGGAATATGCATCAAATGACTCATGAATGGATTTTAAAAAACTCTCAATATCAACTAGATCAAAAGAACCAGCGGACTCGTGCAAAGAAAAGGAAAGTGCACTCAATTTGCTTAGCTTCTCTCCGGCGCGGCCTAGGGAGTCAAAGGTCACATCCTCTCCTTTCAGAGCGTAGTCGACCAGGTCCTCCAGGCGTTCAAGCATCTTATGCTGCGTCTCTGAAATCGGGTGTCCAACCCGAGCATGAGCGGGAGGCGAGCTGCTGCAACCAAGGCTCAACCAGTTAAGGGTGATGACCAAATGCTGCATGCAAAGAGCTCGTGTTCGATAGAACCTCTGTCGCCGTCTGCGGCGAGGAGAAACTAAGTTGGCTGGTGTCCAACAACCACTGCTAGGTGGGGGACACGGCCACAGGTCACTTCGTGGGCGACCTTGAGGTAAAACGGTGCGGCAAGGCTCCAAGCTTCTCCTAATGAACCAATCCAGCTTTGGGCAGGAATGCGCGGTCTTCAGGGAGGCTAAAAACAACTCAATGCATCTAATTGACTGAGGAAAGGTGGCTCCATGAATCTGAGGCTTCAAAGCGGCCCTTGACTCAACGTGAGGAGCCTTTTTCCTCACCTGACTCACGCTGCTCCCACTTGCCCTTCCCTCACCAACGGAAGTCTCATCGACCCAGCCCTTGTGCTCCCCCCGACCGTGAGAAGCAGTAGGGAGACAATCCCTCTGCTCTGGCAAAGAAGAGGACGGCAAAGGAGAACACAGGTTCGGGGATGGATGTGAGGTTCTGCGGGCTGTGGGCTTCAGCTCTGCTCGCTGTCTTCCTTCTGTTTCTTCTTGGGCTTCCAAGGAGCCTTCTTTGTGGCTTGGGCGGTCTCGTCGCCAGCTTCCTTCGCCTCTCTCAAGAGGATGAAATTGTTCTCCCCCTTGATTTTTGCTTCGAGGTAATCGAGGTCTCTCATGAAAGCTTCGTTCGCTTCCACCCAGCTGGCCGCCACAGGGCGGCTGAACGGGGTCAAGCTCTGCCGGCGCCGATTCCTTTGAGCGATGCTGAACTGTGGTTCTAGCAAGGCTGTCAGTGGCCAGCCGAGATTGGTGCGACCAAAGTCCACGGCCGCTTGATCGATGAATAGAAGGCCGCAACTGGCCACTCCCATCAGAGCGACATCGTTCGTCCGAAGCCCCGTCTCCCACGCAAAGCCCCATCGATACGCCTGTTGGATCAGGAGCCGATTGTCGCCTAATGGACATTTCTTCTCCATGTATTCTTCCATGAGCCCCGGCCCCACTTGACTGTGCGCGATGCCCAGTTCTCGAGAGGCGTGCTCCATGACGGCCAAGGCGACCTTTCCATGATCCTGCATCAGCTCCAGATAAGCTTTGCGAGCTAAGCAACCTTTGACGCTGCCTCTGCCCGTGCTTTGCCCACCGGAACTTCCAGACAAAGCGGCTGTCAATGGATCGGGGGTCTGACGCTGTTGCTGTTGCCGCGCCAACATAGCAATCTGCTTCATCTGCAGGACAAGCATCCTCTGAAGTGGGTCGGTCAACGCCAGTTCCAGATCTGCGATGCCTTCCTCCAGCTCTGCAGACTCTGCTACCCCCAACCCCGCCTCTTGTTGCAAGGGCTCCAGGATCCCCTCTGGCCGCTGTTCTCGCACTGCACTTTCGTGCGCCCTTAGTCGAACCAAAGCCACGCCAGCTAATGCTCTGAGTCTTTCGACGGCATCCTGTGGACCAGCTTGTGGTGAGACGGTGTGAACACCGCCAGGTAGGACGCCTCGGTTGGGAGGCGGAGGCGGCTGAACAACTTGAGCCCCCCCCATGTAGTGGCGAGGCGGCTTGTGACTGGAGCGCTGCTTCGAGTTGGGTGATCCGTTGCTGGAGAAGGGAGACCTCCTCCTCCTGCTGAGCCCCACTCGGAGGCAAAACAGATGCTGCGGGCCACATCTCGTCGTCTCCAGTCACGTAATCGCTTATGATCTCGCGGATCCACTGCTCTGAACTTGCCAGCAGGGCGGAACGCCGAGGGCGACAAGGAGCACGTTCGAGAGTAAGGCGCAAAACCTCGTATGCAGATGGATTCCTCAGCGGGTGCCCCTCCCTGAAATGCTTGGAAACCATCCAAGGCACATCGGCAAGTAAACATGGACCTGCAGGAAGTCCGCGGCAACGAACAGTTTCCATGTACACCGCGGTGGTGTAGGAAGCCCCTTGATCGTCTTCTCCCTCCTCTGTGGTGAGGTATGGAAGGAACTCTGCGACTTCTGCCAGGCCTGGCAGAGCAACCATGAAGCCTCCAGTGCGCACTCGTACGAGAGCGCCTAAGGCTCTCAGACCTGATCCATCTCCTCGAGAAGGAAGGACCAGGAGCACCCCTAGTAAGGGCCCTGTTGATGGGGTGTCGTTCAACAGGGCTCTCAGGGTCTGCTCGGTCATAGGCGGCGCTCCAGAAGCGGAGGCCATGGCTCTTGGGCACCGAGCAGGTAGGCGTCAGCTTCAGCTCTGGATGCAAAGGCCTCTCACTGTCCCAGGCCAAAACTCGTGAGGTCGTTTGCAGACCTGCCCCAAGTAGGTAGTGTAGTCCCCCGTCCACCCAGGAGAAAGGCCAGGTCCGGCCTTGAGCACAATGAAGAACTTTGAGGGCAAAGTAGGTCCCCCAACGTTGGCGGCCGTCAGTGGCCGATTGTCCAGCCAGTGCCTAGCCAAGACACCAGCCCTCAGCGCTCGAGCCAAGCGAGCTTCAGGATCCCACCCCGCACTGGTAGTCCTCAGACGTGAGATCAAGTGCGAGATAGGGGAGAGGTCCAATTCTTTCAATGTGGTAGGTGAGTCCGCCCTGGCCAGAGCTTCAAACCACTCCCGAGTCCACGGCCCAGATGTCGACAGGTCCTCACCGACTTCCGACCAGGAAAAGATGCTAGCCAGCTCTGTGTGAGCCTCTGGCTCGGTGGCCCGAAGGCCTGCAAGGGCACCCGAGCTGGGGAGCTGTGAAGATGTAGAAGAAGAAGAGGATGCGCCCACACGCTGAGGAGTCGATCTGTAGCCTTCGCGACGCGAGACCCGGATCCGGAGTTGGCCAACTTCCAAGGCGAGTTCTTCCACCTCAGTGTTTTGGTTCATACACTGTCTCCTCGATGTAGCGCTAGCCTCCTTCTGGCCACTTCGGCCAAAGCGGCTGATTCAGCCTGCAAGGCTGAGGATGCAACTCCAGTTATCAGCCGCCAGTGCAACGGCCAAATTGGCCAAAGGAAGGGCGAGTGCCCAGCTAGGACCGAGCGGGCGCTCGAGCCGAGATTTTTTCTTGAGATGCAAAGTGGCTGTTTTGCTGGGATAACAAGCATATATTTATATATACATACATACTCCGAGGGGCCAAGGGGGTTCCGTAGTTCAAGTAAAGAAGTCAACCGTTGCCATCCTTTGACCACTTTTCACAAACCGGTATGAAGATATTCTCCTCCTGGGTTGGCGTGAAGGTGCGCATGTAGCTTTGTGCAGCATCCACTGTGCAGCTCGGTCCAGTGCCCATCACACAGGTCTCCTGCGGCAGTGTGGCGGAGTCTCCACAGTTGGCCGTCACCAGGGGGCTCAAGCAGTCGCCTTTGGGTGGGACCAGGTAGTAGCAGCTCCTCTGTGGCACTTTTGGGCTTCAAAGACGAATGTCCAACACCCGACTCCCACTTTGGGATGGAATCTATCTCTTTCTCTATGTGTATATCATACATGTATATGTATATACATTATATTATACAGATAATATGACACAGGCAAGCTCAAATGATCCAGAATTCAATGGTATCTCCTGGTTGAAAAGACTCGCACATAGAGCCCCTTTGATACCATCTCCAACAGGGTCGTGGAGTTCAACTTCAGACAAAGGTCCACGATGTTGTCCGGGTCCCAAATATCTCCCATGCCGACCTCAAATTGAAGGACTCCCCCTCACAATGGTGAAGCGTGAAAGCGCGTCAAAAATGAAGGCGGGCAAGGCAAAGGCGGGTCAAAAAAACGCCGGGTCAATCAGTGAGGAAACGGACTCGAGAAGAAGACATGCGTTTTCTTGAGGGGTCTTTGAGATTCTTGGAGACAGGGGGGTCGTTTGCAGACTCAGATTTCCATCTTTTCGACGGAAAGCCAGTTCCTCCCTTCAGGGTGAATGAAAATGATGTAGTCATTATAACCCTGCTCCTCAGCTACAGCCCCTTGCAAACTCTTCAGTTTGGTGGACAACACTCAAACATTGGGACTGGAGTTTGTATCAGATATAAACTTTGAACCATGATACAGGAAGGTTTATCAATGTCTATCACTTGGAAACAACATATCACATGAACAACTGAAACCACCCCCGATCCCCTGCACCTTTTCCCTCCGAGCCACATACTCCTCCTCATTCAGGACCCGGCCATTAGGTCCAATGCGCAACTGCCAGAGACCCTTGTGGCCGGGCTTGTGGTGCAGGTGATCGGGTAAGTCGCTGTTGTTCCTCCAGGTCACCGTCACACCACCGTTCATCACGACCTTCAGGCGAAGAAGCAGGTGTGTCAGGTCTGGCGCGTCTCAGGTCTGGGACTTCATCGCGTCTCAGGTGGATTCTACATGATTTTTTGCGGAACTCCAAAGCCACTCTGGTCATGGCCTCCTTTGTGACGGCTCAAAACCCATCCCACACCCACCCCAAATCCCACCCACACCATTCTTCTGCAAAGGAAACTCACCTGCACCACGTGCGTCGTCGAGGGATAATGGACACTGCAAGTGTCATTGGCCAACAACGCCATGGACGCTTGCACTTGCGGGTTCTGCATCAACAAAGGCGGCAACGTTGGCTGACCATCCGCCGCATCAAAGGATGTGATGTCGTGCAACTCAGCATAGACCAAATCCTGGAGATGCAAATGCAACTCGACTAAAGAAGTCTGTCTCTCTGGAAACTCAGGGATGCAAAAAGACACATGTGCGAAGCACCCCTTTCTGACCCTTTTCTTGGACCTGATGTCTTCCCCAACGCGGAACACTGCAGCCTCAGTTCGGCGGCGAACATCTGCCCAAAAAGCGGGAAGGTTCGACGGTTTTACCGAAGCAATTCTTACCAAGCATCCAGGCCAGTGTCTGCATACTGCAGCCCCTGCCCCGTGTAAGCGTTGGAATTGGCGATCACCACAGACGCTGGATTCACACCCTCTTTGAAGCCGAAATTGCCCAACAGCAAAAGGGTCATCCACTCGTTGCCTTCGACTGCCGGTAGCCAGGTTGCACCAGTCACCACCGCGCGGCTGCCATTGGGAAAGGTCACCTGCGCTTGTCGGTGAAAAGCCCTTAGTAGGAATATTACTTTGGTCAGCAGTCGGGTAGTGTTTCAAATTGTTTAAATCGCATGACTAGACCAGAAAGACGTGATGTACCGTACAAAAGTGCTGTGCTGTTTTCTATAGTGCTTTCTGTGGCACTATCCAGAAATTATGGCCAAAGCCCCCATGTTTCATCACCCCTGTTGAACTTCCTCCTCCACCCCACAAGTCCTGAATATCCTCCAGCGAGGTAATCTGCTCCTTGGCTGGCACGTCATCCGCGGGGTTAAAGGTGCACGGCATGCCGTCGCCATAGGGCATGATCGTGGACCCAGCGATCGATTGACCACTATTCATCCGGAAGGCTGAGAAGAATTGGTTCATCAATTGAGTTTCTGTCCTGCGGCGGTCAAAAAAGGAAAACACATCACATCTTGGCCTCCTGAAAATGCATCAAGAAAGACCTGTTGTACTTGCCTAAGCTTAACATTCAACAAATTACTGTACCACCCCCTCCACCAAAGCAGCAGCATCTCTATCCTCGCCGCATATCTTCCATCCACAGTAGTAGGGCAGCCAAGCTCCTGGGCCTCTTCGAATCCATCACTGTCCTGGAGGCCCAGGCACTCCGCCCACCCGTAGATGCAGCTCAGCAGGGTCGGCGCCGCACTCACCGGCGTCACGGACGACCGCAGCCAGGTCACGATCACCAGCAGGCGGAACATCGACCGAAACTTGGCGAACATCCGAGCAGCGACCGCTTCAAGAGCCAAATGAAGGTGTGCTTCTGGCACCCAGGAGAATAAACAAAAAAGATTGGGAACCTGAACAGATCTTGTGTGAGTCTGAAGAGGGAAGAAACTGATGTTATTGCCGATGGTTCAGGTGCAGATCGGCCAAAAACACACCGCGATCAGGAGGCTATCTGGAGAAAGATAAGCTGCCTGGAGAAAGATGCCTGATGGTTTGAAACAAATGCGTTGCAGTGAACCCCAACCAAATGACCGGTTGCCAAAGGTCCTGTTCCTGGATTGATTACTTTGTGAAGATTTTGCAACCATGTGCCGCCTATCCGACCAAAAGGTGCATCAAAAACGGCCCAATGGCCTGTGAATCTGAGACACCAAAACCGGCTCTTCAAAAAACCCATCCAGCCCATCGCAGGCCCCTCCGCGCCGCAACGAGCACCACCTCCGCAAGCATCGGGATCTGGAGACGAAGTGATATCCTGCCCCCAATTGGCCCAGCCCAGCCCAGACCAACGCATTCTCCCTCAAAGCGCCAAAAATCATTGCACAACTTAATCGGAGATGCTGACTCCCACAAGATTTCCATGTGACATGTTGAGGCATGACAGAACGTCGTCTCTGCCAACCGAATGGTTCAAAATCACAAGAGGCTCAAAAATGGTGCCTCTTACCACGCTTGGGTTCGCAAAATTGCACTGCTGAATGCATTGAGCCTGCCACGTGCCATGCAAAAAAAATTTTGCATGCTGGTGACATCATAACACACATCATGGCACACTCTGATCAAAAAGAACGGTGAAACCATGATCACCACTCATTGTTGACTGTGTGGATGTTTTTGTCATGAACATGTTGCGTGTACACCATTGCATTGCGCCCAAAAGAACAAAGCAATCAAACCTAACACACTCCCAAAGCTGTGGCGGAGTAAAGCCGACTTTTCACTTACAAAAGTGGAGTTTTCATGCTGCGGCTTGCACAGTCCTCATGCACGGTGGCGGTGGTCATGATTGTACTGAATGGTCCGTGCATTAGCCTTCGACCATCTTGGCTTATCTTGCTCATGCCTAGGACAAATGTACACAGCCCAAGTGCTCGGCCACCAGCAAACATGCATCGGCTCCTGGTATGGTACACATCTCCGCATGAGTGCACTGTCACCATTTTGTGAAGGGATCTAAGCCAACGCTATTCATGATCTTTCAATGCGCTGCTCAATGCTGCACTTTGTTGCTCTTGAGACTTCAGGTCACTTTGCACGACCTCACTTGCTTCTTTATATGCTTCCAGTTTCTTCCTCAAAGGTCATATTGATCATGTACGTGGTCTGTCTGCTGGTAAAATTTGTGCACGATTTTTGGTTCATTGCGTTCGTCCGTTTGCACTTCTTGTGTTGGGCCATTTTGGTTCTTCAGAGTTGCGCCCCATTCATCATTCTTTTCACCATCATCCACATCCTGACAGCTAGCGGGTCCTTCTCCAACCCGACGCTGCGACGCAGCGACGTTGCTGGACGCTGCAACGCACGACGCTGCGACGTTGCGAACCGATTTCGCGTCTTCTCGCGTCCTCGCGTCTTCTGTGAAAACACGGTGGCGCAAGCTTCCCTTTTCGATCCCGCTCCTTGAGCCACAGTCACGGTCTGTGTAGTGTAGACTGTCTCAAGCGTTCTCAAAGATTCTCTAAAGTTTGTCAGCTCTTCTTAAGAGAGTCAAGATTATTCATAGGCATCTCAAACCTACACAAAACTACAATCAACTATCTTAACCATTCTCCATGCACACAGTGCTCTACCAAAAAGTTCTCTAAGCTATTCCTAACGACTTCTCGCCACTTCAAACATCTTCCTGCTAAGGTGGTCGAAAAAAAAACATCAAAAGGACAAAGATCTCCTCTCAGCTCCAACCCCAAGCGTTTTGAAAACGAAAATACCCTAAAGAAACTGGCACTAGGTGAGCCATACCCTGTACAAGCACGCTGCACGCTTTGCTTCAGACCCTTCTTGGGTCACATTGCGCCACCTTCTGTCTCTTTCTCTCTTCTTCTCTTCTTCTATTCGTTTTCTCTGAGCAACTAAGGAGCAGACAACAACTAAGATCCATACCACTGTCCTCAAAGATGATCTCAATGCTATCAATCTAGAGGTAAACTCGATCGAGTCCATCCCAAACAAACCTCCAGATCCAACAAAGAACTCCGTTCAACCATCAACAAGCATGCAATCAACCAAGAAAGCAACAAATTAAAGGATCCCTCAGAGATCCTCAGAGATCAGCCATGAGATCTCAGGGTCAGATCCCATCTGCGTGGCCTTCAGTGTCTCATCATCGGGATCCTCGAAAGCCCGTGCAAACGTCTATCCTCAAGACCTGACAAGTACACATGAAAAGTACACAAAGCTGCAAGCAACTGCAAATGAAATCACAAGAAACTCCCTAGAAGCTAAACTTGCAATGAACTAAGCGCAACTGTCATGCACAGAGATGAACTTGCCATGCCACAGCAAATCCCTGATCTGGAGTACAATCCTCTTGCGCTTGTCTCTCCAATCCTTATCGTGGCGGTTTTCTCAAGATTCAACAATGCTCTTCAAACCTTTTTGGCCACTCTGCGCGTCGACCCTTGGTCTGATTCGCTTGCCAATCTGAACTTTCTTTCTTTCTTTCTCATATTTCCAAACCCTTCAAACAAGAAACAAAGGACATCGACCCAATCCACCTTCACAAAACACCAAGGTCGCAAGTGAAAAACCGGGCAAGCTTTTTCAAAACCCCATCTGTCGCAACATGCATCACCCCCACAACAACGTCTAATGGAACGAAACAAGGTTTCCTTGCACACTGAACAACCAAAACTGGCTTCTGAACGCTGGCCGAAAAAAGGCGCAAACATGACAATTCTTTTTGCACGAGTCGAGCCGCCATTCATGCAGGAAGTGCACAGGTCAGCTTGTGCAATTTTTTGTAGTCTCCATCATGAAAGGGGGCCAAACACACAAACAAAGCCCAAAAACCAAACAAAACCGACAAAGAAAAGCACAAAGATGGAGACTCTTGGATGTACATGCAAGGGTGAAACAGATATGGTGAAACAGAAATTGGGCACTGAACTACTGCAAAAGGCCACCAGCGGGCTATTCGAAAGCGGTTCGAAATGATTGCTGGCAACGTCAATGACATTTGGTCTATAGGCCTGTTTAAGCAGGCCGTCACAGCGAGCACTAAGAAAACGCGCTCTCCGTACTCAAAATATTGCATACTTGGATGTGCGGTGCTGCCTGTAAGTGATTGTTATGGTTGACGAACTAATAGTTGAAGTTATAAGTGTTTACGCGCTACCAAAGTTGGACTTACTAACTTCATCATCGCTAGACTTAATGAAACATATAGAGGCGAACTTGCGTTGAACATCTTACTACTGCACAGCTCCAACGGTTGAACTTAATCTGCTTGACTAACTAACTTATAAGTCTTGCAGTTGCACTTAGTAACCACACCAGAACTTCAACTGCAGTGGACTTACAACGTTACACAGTCGGACTTCCTAAGTCCGACGGTTGGACTTAGAAGTCTCAAGCATGTTGGACATTTCAGACCAGGCTTGTTGCCAGCAGAATGCACATCATGAGGAGGGTCTTCTTCATCGCAGCTGCCAGCTTGTTGCAGCGCTATATTTATATGTGAGTACATATATAGGTACATAGGTAGATACAGTTACAACATGTTTATTTTGTTTGTTTGTCTGTCCGTTTCTTTGTTTCTTGGTTTGTCGTTTGTTGGTTGTTTGTTTGTTCGTTTGTTTGTTGGTTTGTTTAGTGAACAGGGCTAGTTGGCTATAGTTAGCTGACAGCAGGGTAGCGGTCTTTGCGAACCGCTTCTCACCTGGAGGGGCTTCTCAGGTCCTTTGAAAAGCGCACAGCACCGCAAGCCTGTCCAGCTGGCGCCTATATCCTCTCCAAGCTTCAAGCACAGCACCGCAAGCCTGTCCAGCTGGCGCCTATCCTCTCCAAGCTTCAAGCCCAGCGGTCGAGCTTCTCACCCCAGCCTCTCTTCTTTGCCCCTTTCCTATTTTCATTTCATTTCCTTACCTTGCCTTTCCTTTCCTTGCCTTGCCCTTTCTTGCCTTGCCTTGCCTGATCTTCTGGATCACCTCCGTTTGTTTCCTTGCGCTGGAAACATTTGTCTTTCATTTTGTTTTCTTTGTTTCCTTTCCTATATCCTTTCCTGTATCCTTTCCTTTCCGTTCCTTTTCTTGCCTTGCCTCGCCCTTCCCTTAACTTTCCTTTCCTGTCCTTTCCCTTCCCTGAACCTTCCACTTCCAGCCCTTTCCTTCCCTGATCCTTTTCCTTTTCCTGTCCATTCCCTTCCACTTCATCTGTTTTCTTTTTGAGACTCATTGCCTTAAACGGCCTTCAGGCCCTCGTACAAGATCAGCAATCGGACCCTGTATACGGCTGATAACCATATTTATGCTCATAACCTGTACGGCTCATAACCTGACCCTCAGCAAAACCAAAGGCGCAAGCACTTCTTGAAGGCATTCATGCCTGCATGCCTGTCATGATCAGACAGAGTGCTCTCACGCTGCACCTGTACGGCTCATAACCTGACCCTCAACAAAACCAAAGGCGCAAGCACTTCTTGAAGGCATT